AACTGCTTTGCAGAGCCACAAATGCTGGATGATTAGATTGTACTATGGACATGATTCCCTGCCACACACTAGATAACCGCTACTTTTTAAAAATTGGAATCCCATTCTGAAAGTCCAGTTGATATGTTTTGCAAATCAAATCTTTCGATTTATCATTTCTACGAATACTCATATGCCACAATCACTTATACAACATTGACTTTTTCTCATCCAACAAGGAATCAATTCCTAATCTTCATTCAACTTTCTCCTTGGTAACAATCTGCCACAGAAGTTTACAAATCTTCCTTTTTTAGCCATACCAGCCCATAGAAACCTCCCCTGAATAGATGTTAGCACCCTACATACTCATTTCGGCATTAGAAATATAGGCTGAAATATAGTGGAAGGGAGTTCATGATAACACTTTTTATTAGACATAAGCGTCCAACCATGCTCAACAATTTACCCTTCCAAAGTGAAAGTCTACTCCGAAATTTAAAAATCACAGGCTTCGAAGTAGAAATTCGCCTTGGATTTGACCCTAAAGTCATGCCCAAATAAGATAGTGGTAAAGAGTCATGTCTGCAATGGACATCATTTGCCAACCCAGCACAATATTCCTCATCTAGATTAATGTAGTGAGGCAACGTCGAAATGACGCGCTTAAGAGCCTCTGAGAGGTTGTGTTAGGAAATAAAAGGTTTTTTTGAGTTTGATCATGTTATTAAGATTTACTAGTCACTTTATAATATTATAGTTATTAAAAAATTTATAGTACGGGTAAAAAATTGGTTGTATAAAAAAAAATATTATTTTTATTACACCTTATCTAAAAAAGATATATTATTATTTAATTATTTTTTAAATTAAATTTTTATTTTTTGATCTCGTCTAAGATTTAAGATAGATCTCCTTTCATGAAGGAATCTCTATCTTATTAGGATGAATTCTAATAATTATAGAAGCTAAATTTTAACTTCACATTTATTTATTTATATCTTTAATACATGATGGTATACTCTACTACGTAGTTTTACTCTCTTAAATATTAAAGTATTTATTTAAATCCTAGTTTAAAATAAAAAAAAATGATTGATAAGAGTTTTTGATATTTTGATTGAATCCTAACATATCTTCTTCTTCTTTTGGATTTTAAAATATGAGAAAGATTCAAAAACATTTTACGAAAACATGCTTAGAAAACTTTTAAGATTTTGTCGTATGCATGAAAACAAAATATTTTTTAAGATAAAATTAATTTAAACTTTTTGAAATTTTTTTTAATTTTTAAAATTTTTCAAAAATATTTTGGAGCAAAACAAATATTTTAATACCAGATCAATATCATATAGTATAAACATACATCTCGATATTATGCAAAATTATTAGACAAACATGCGATAAAATCATAATTTTTTAAAAATAACTCTTGGATTTTTTTTTAAATTTTTGTTTTTTTTTAATATATATAATATTATATTATTATTATATTAATAAATATAAATTGGGTTGGACCCGACCTAACCATCCGAGCTGGGCTAAAACGAGTCCAACCTGATAGACCTTTTTTTTTATGGGATGGACCCAGCCTAGCCATCTTGCTATGCTGGAATGGGTCCAGCCCAAGCTCCACGTTGTTGCTGCCAACCTAACAACTTTGTTAATTATAATCCATTCCCTATATGCAGAATGAGATGGAACAAACTTGTAGGAGGAAGAAGAAGAAGTTTAGATAGAGCAAGAGGTAGTGCAGCTAGCATCACTAGTCCAAAGTGTATAAGGTGGTGGTGTTAGTGAAGAGGATGGCAACTAAGTTAAGTTGTTAAGAAAGAAAAAGAACAAACTTACAAAAAAAAAGAGATAACTTTATGGTGGTTGCTCTTTATATGAGGTGATCAGCTAGCCACTCATGATGGAGATGGTGGTGGACAAGCTGGTGGTGAAAGTGTTGGTGGATGCAAGTCAGGGTGGAGAGAGAGAGAAGATCACAATGAAAATAAAATGGGGAGGGGGGGCGAGGCTAATTTTTTATCGACTTTGAACTTGATTTTCTCCTCTTTCATATCATGAAATCCATCTATATTTATAAGAGGTGAAAAAGAAATATTTTTTCTTTAATGGTGTTAAATATAGGCTCTTGATTCGACTCATAAAGATCTCAATTGTTGGTTTAAAGTGGCAATTATGAGTTATCCGATTTATTGCAAGAAAGGGCTAGTTGGGTTGGTCATTTTAGAATAGTGTTACAGTCGTTATGGTCTTAATTAGCTAAAACGGACCACACTAAGATGTAGTCAGATGTTAGGTCATCATTTATGTGCATGTTTTGTCAAATTTGGTAAAGGAATGAAGCGTTAAATGCTTTGGGAAGGAGGTCACTCGAGTAACTTTTCTAAAGAAGAAGATAAATAGTCACTAGAGGATATGTTATCTAGTATTTTTATTATTATTATTCAAAATGGCGCCATTATAGGGTTTTAATTTACAGTTTTGGCCAACGTTTAATTTGGTCTTTCATCTTTTAATTTCTTTCGATTGCACCCTTACTTGATTCTAAACTTTCAATTTTACTCAATTTTGCCATTATTGAACTTTAATGTCAACCTTGAAATTTAGTATCTTTTTCATTTTGGTCTATGGTTTCATATTTTTTCAATTTAGCTTCTAATTTACCATTAAACTTTCAAATCTCTTTAATTTCACCACTGATTTTAGCTAATTAGATCCATAGAGTTCAACACCATTTTCAAATTGATCTTTGGCTGTAAATTTTTTCAATTTAGCTCTCAATTGATTCCAAAATTTTTATTTTTCTTGCAATTTTGCCCCTAATTTGAATCAATTGACTTGGTAACAATTAAATTTGATCTAAATTTGGTCTTCTAAAATTCTAATATTCTAAAACTCTAAGTTATGCCCAATTTAAACTCCAAAACCTAATGGTTCACCAATTAAACCTCTAATAAAATTAATTTGACCCATTTAAATTATAATTAAGTCCTTGTACCTAATTTAATCACTCAATGAAACCCAAGTTAATTCTTAAAAATAATTAAACTTTAATTTAGTCCATAATTAAATCAAATTTGCCTATTAAAATTGAATTATGTTCTTAGATTTAACTTTACAGATCCGTCTAATAATTATGTAGCTTAACCTTTAATTTGCCTTATTTCTCTAGTTTTTGGTAAAATAAGGTATAATTAGACTCTTAATTCTATCCATTATTGCAATTTGATTTTTTATACAAGTGAAATTCTCTCGTTTTTATTTTTATAAAAATGCTAGTCTTTATTTTATTTTTAAATCTTTTTATTTATTTAAAAAAAGAATATAAATTTAGGGAATTATGCCAACAACCAGACTCTTATTAAAATTATTTTTCAAAGCTGCACATGTTTCAAACCAACGCAGAATTCTCTCGACTATCTACAAGGAGTTCAGAGAAGTTGGAAGGAAAATAAGAGTATCGTTAACATAGTACAGATGAATGAAATAATCTCCATGCTCCAGTTGAGCTCCCATAAACACTCCAATATGCGATGCTCTCCCTAAAAGCACCTAAAGGCCTTCTGCTGCTATATTACTGTGATTATTCTATTCTCTTACATTTACATGTTGAACGCCAAACAATTCGTGCTTGGCCATTCCTCTGTTGAAGATATTTTCTCATACGTTCTATGGCTGATGCTGCTTCTTTGTTTCCTAACCAAGTAATGATAGACAGGGACCCAACAGTACAAAGTGATACGGTAATGGTGGGCACATCATTTGTTCTTTCCTCTGATCGTCTCTCAGCAGCCACCTTTAGATCATTTGATGAAGCTCTAGAGTGGAAAAATAATTTAGATACTCTCTCAGTGGTGGGCTGCCTTGGGATTGGCTGAGGATAGGGTCCTGTGAATCTTTCCCCTTTGGTATTATTTCCTTGCGAAGATAAAGATGACTGCCCTTTTTTTATATTTTCTTTTCATGGATGACAATATTAAGGACCAAAAAACAAATAATAAATTTGACAATATTCATATGCAGTATGTGTTTTCTCCATAATTATAAGAATAATTTATTTTTAATTTATTTTTATTTTCTATTAAAAGTTTGGTACATTTCCTCCGTCTCATTTTATTCCTCCGTATTTATATTTTCAACTATTTATCAAAATATCATTTATTTTCCATATCTTGGAAAGTGCAGAATTCCATTTATTTGAAATAAAAGTTGTAATTAATCAAATAATCAGATTAGATTGAAAAATCCTTTTCTTTTCTTTCTATACACTTCTTCTAAAAGAGAGACAAACATTATGAGACATGCCTAAAAGGAAACTTCGCAAAACAAAGAGGGATTGAGGGAGTATACACTTCATTTTCTTTTCTTTTCTTTTTTTTTTAGTTGAAAATCATATTATAATTTCTTTTTTAATAAATCTATTAAATAATTAATAATAAAATCATTATGGGAGTCTCATAAAGTAATTTAAATTCTAGATTTGAATTTTTTTATATAATAATAGAGTTTTAATAACTAACCAAGTATAAGTTTAAACCCTAATGCTCTCATTGTTTTCTAATAAAATTAAATTTTAACACAAGGTAGCTATGAACATGTATAAATTTTATATTTAAAGGGTTTTAAAAAAAAATGATGAGCTAGAAAGTTAACATAAAATTAATTTTAAAATCTCACTCGAAATGATTTTTTAATAGATTTTGAGAAGTAATAAAGAAAAAAGTAATTGGAACAAAATTAATTAAATTATAACTTTAAACCATGTCTAATATGAATATATAAGCTTAGGTAATGATCATAATTGTATAAGATATTCTTAATTGACACATATGTATGGATGTGATTGTTGTTATGGTTAATTTGCTTTCTTTCTTTATAAGGGAAGAAAAAATGAATTAGATAGTTAACATTAGTTCAACAGTCACTTTAAAATAAAATAAAAATATTGTGTGTGTGTGTATGTGTATATATATTATGATTTGACACTAGCTGCTGCAAGTGTGTATATTATGATTTGACACTAGCTGCTGCAAAGAATTAATGTAACCATCACATTACAACAAAGAACAAATGACATTATTATTTTTGGTTCAAATAACAGAGGAGTTCTCGGAAATTAAATCTTTCAAGACTAAGCCCATTGTATAACTATTGATCTACATTAATTAAGCTGATGCGTTTTTCATAATTTACTTTCCTACAAACATTTTTAGAAGTCGAATCGTGATAATGTAAGAAATATATCCACTTATCAACCATCTTGATAAAGGCATAACCTTGAAGGAAAAAAACAAATGACATGAGAGTATTTTTCTTCTCTTTTTGCTCAAGAATTGAATAATGCACATCACCGTTTAATCAAGAAAAGGTTCACATAATTAAGAATACGAGTACAATATGATTAGTGTAATTTTGAGTATTTCACATTGAAATTAAATAAGACTATGAGTTTTAAGACCTGAAAGATTTATTTAAATGACCAAACTAATAGGGCATCACTCTCCATGAGTTAAATATGAACCATTGTTGTTTAATGACAAAATAATCTTACATTTTAATCGTATTTTATTTGTGGGCTTTTATAATAGCTTTTGTATGCTCTTGAATTATGATTCGATACTAGTTATATGTGCTGTAATTAAGATATATGTCCATTCTTATTATATATATAAACACACCTTTTAACCATATTTTGATTCTAAAGAAGCATACAGACACACAAATATAACAAAATCTTTCTCTTTTTCTTTTCAATTTTGGTTTTGCGACCAGTTTATAATCAATAATCTTAAAAAAAGCTTATTGTCAGGAAGAAACAAGCAAACATGAGAAATACAACTGCTCTCTGATCTTTCCCCTTGGTTCTTCTTGTTCTTCTTCTTCTTCTTCTTCTTCTATGATCATCTTGTGGGATTCTGAAGAGCATAAACATGAGAACTTGTGAACCATTAGTTTTTTGCTTCCAAAAAAAAAAAGGGATTGGCATCTTCGCATCAGTAAATCTGACTGCCAAAAGAAGAAAAATCTAGTGGAAGGTCTGCAACTAGTCAACTATATATATAATGAATCTAGTAGTACACTTGATCCACACAAGACTTGATGAATCGAATTATTCAATTGATGTAGATAAATCATAGAATTATACGAGCACACATGAAAGTCGAAGATGATCCTTCATAGGCCCTTGTCAAGAAAAATGCAAATCCAAAAGAATTGCAAATCCTAAAGAATCACACATAAAATGATCTTATTATGGAGTGCTTATTAAATCATGTTTTAGGCTATTTAATACTTAAAGATAAGAACCTCTGGTAAATAGAATTTAACAGATCTGAGCGTAATTATATTTGTATATCATTTATAATAACTATATGATCAGATTCGTGATCCAGGCTCAACCTTTAAAGCAAGAAAAGAAATTTGATGAACTTTTGTACTGATAACGATCAAAACCATCATACTAAACTGATCACCTCGAGAACTTCAGCCCAATTCGTCCTGTTTTGTGCCTGGAACTAATATCCTTTGCTCAGCTTTACACACTCCTTCACGGAAAAACACACCATTAATATACCAAAAATCAAAACACCAATGATTTGGATGGCCCTTCTCTCACAAAGCATTTCCTTGATACCTGCTGAGCATATTTCCGTAATTTAGGACAGGAATCATCACTTTAGTTCTATTCTAAAAAACATGTAGTAACAGAAAGGAGGCTGAGTGCACTTGTCCCAAGTAGCTAGCTAATCCCTTTTAGTGTGACAGTTTAAGAAGTTTGCAATCAATTAAACTTTGGGAATTTAAATCAAGACATTAGTTTATTCTTTGTGGAGAGCTAATATGATACATGAAAAAAAGAGAGAGAGAGAGGGAGAGAAACGAAAAGAAACATACTTCTTATACGGTCTATCAATCACTGGTAGCTGGCTATTTTGGTTATATATAGCCAGGAAACAAATATGATCCTTATGCATACTGAGAAATCACTTCGAATATCAAGACCCCCCCACCCGCCTTTCCGTTATCTGAAATGTTACTTGCCCTGCGCTTGCAAACTAAAGAAAACATTAATGACATATAGATTCAAACAAAGCAAAATCATGGAAGATTGAGCAAAGAAATAGAGGAGGAGGAGGAGGAGGGGGTCGGGGCTGAAAGTGATGACAGAAGCATAGAGAGCACAAAGGAGTGGGATGCAGAGTCCATTGCATATCATCATCTGTGCTCTCTATCTTCTGTCAACAACATCACCAGTGCCTCCTTCTCCCCCAACTACCAATTCTATTGGTTTTTCAACCTTTTTTTTTTAATTTATGAAACGAATCTGGTTTTCTCTTCTTTGTGTTTTTTTGTATTTTTCCCTTGCTGAGCAGACGGAAAAAAAATTGATCAGAACATAGTATGATAATAATAATAAAAAGAAAGTTTCTTTAAAAGGAAAGGTGTATAATGGCTTAGAGCAGGTGAGAGAGAGAGGGGCGAGAGGGAGAGAGAAAAGTGAGGGGATGACCTATAATAGACTACCAGTAGCCTCTATTTATAGAAAGAAAAGGATTATGCCAGTCCAGTGAATGAATTGCGAAGGGTAAATAGAGTAGTAGAGTGCCTGTACCTTGTTCTCTCTTTCCATGTAACCGTCTCTCACGAGCTAAATATTTATTTGATACGACAACCGTTGTCACCTCCTAAGAACCCTAATCGTCCTAATCGTACTTATGTGATGCAGTAATAATAATATCCTTACTGGTACTTCATTCTTGACCTAGCTATGTATTTATTCTTGATTAAAAAAAAATTATTTTTAGTTTTTCATATATTTTTGTTTTAAAAAATATTGATTTAATATTTTTTATAATTTTAATATGCTGATATATAAAATTTAAAAAATTAATTTAATATATTTTCAAGTGAAAAAATATTTTAAAAGGCACATTAAAGTTTAATTTCAAACAAATCTAACCTACATGAATATTTTTCCTCTTTCTATGAGTTTAAAATCAAAATTCAGATTTGAATTTGTTTTCATTTAATTACCATCTTAGAAAAAAAATTGATTGCCAAAATCTCTTACATAATTGTATAAAAATAAAAAATAAATGCAGGTAGCAATAAGTAAATGGGTTGAATGATTCATAGAATATATATATATATATATAGAAAAAAAACTAAAAGCCTTAAATAAAACACATGATTATAAACACATTACATTGTTTATTGTAATAGTATAATGGTGATTTTATCTTTCTCATCAAAACATACAAAGCTTGGCCAGGGGATTTTTTAAATGGATCTAATGAGCATTACTAAATTGATTGGGGATAAATTGGTCAGTACATCTTTTTTTGGAACAATTAAATTGTTGTGTTGCCATTAAAAGCTAAAAAAATATATGCCTTTTGGTTAGGGGTTTTTTATCTTTTTAAAATTATTTATATACTAATTTTTTGTTTAAATAGTAAAGTTATAGAATTGCCCTTCAAATAAAAAAAATAAAGGTTATTTTTTAAAGGCATTTAAATCTTTCATTTCTAGTTATTTTTTATTTTGTTATTTTTAGATTTACTTAAGGGTTCTTTTGTAATTTCAATGAATTATATAATACTAAAAAAAAATTGTTCACGTGTGCATGCGTCAATGTGTGATGACCCTTATGTTTTTTGGGCGACACATATTCAACTTTTTGGTTATTAAATTCTAGTATCTGATGTGATATTAGAAGCTTTGTGTCATTCTCTTTCTCACAGTGTGGTGCATGTTTGAGTTGAAGGCATGATTGATATTTAATAGACTTTTTTAATAACATCCCAAAAATTTCGCAACATCGAATGACAGATTAAACCTTGAAGTCAAGAATGTATTTTTTTTTCTATACTTAATATCAATGATCCATATTGGTGTTTTCATCTCATGATTAAATTCAATTTATTATTTAATGCATTTATATACATTACAGAAATTATATAATTATGATTTATATTTCTAATTTCTATTCAATAAAGTCTTTTATATCTGAGTAACTAAATAGTTCTTCTCTTCTCCTGTAAACCTTTATAACGATTAAGTAGAGTTTCAAATCCCACATGCAATAATTTATATCCAAGTATTAGGCCCAAGTCATTCAATCAATCAATCAATTCATAATAGTCCTCATTTACTAAAATTCATCCATTGAGTATATTTAAACAATTTAAGCTTAACTTTTCATTAATAAAACATTTCATTATATGAATAACATTATAAATATTTATTTATTTTATAATTCTCATCCATTTGAATTACAATATACTACTAATAATCTACCTGATATTGTAACTAAAAAAATCAGAGTTTTGTCTCAATAAGTAATATTCTAATAGTGAACTTGTAAAATTTATAAATTTAAATAAGATATTTATCACAATACAATTAAAAACATAATAGATATAACATGTACATGATTCTTCATGGAACAAACCTCTATAATTTATTTTAATAATAACAAAATTGACTTATTTACCATAATCTCTACTAACATTGAGTATTTTGTAGTCACCTCATTAAGAAAATTCCAAGCTTATTTTTCCATCCCAGAAGTTACACCTCATTGAGAAATCCTTCTTAGTAACTTTAACCATCAAATTGCACCACAAGATTTTATTAATGGTAAAAGCCTATTTTATATATCTTGCTTTATACAATGTGTTTATCAAAGATAAATTATTCTCTCTTCTTTTTACTTTATATGTTCTTTAAGAATCTAACCACTTACCGATATTACCCTACAATTCCAAATGAGTATAATCAATAATTTATTAATTTTTATTTTTAATAACAAATATTTAACATTAATTTAACTTAATTCAGTTTGATCCAACACATTATTAATCGTTCATTTTATAACAAATTTTTATATGAACATATCCTCACATATATCAATACACTTATCCATCCCTTGGTCTAACCATCATATATACCTGAAATATATAAATATAGATGCCTACATTCTTGTCCCATTAGGCCACCAAGATAGTTCTGAAATCTCTTACCATATAGTATCTAAAATGGCCTATACTTATGCCCTTTTACATAATTGAACAACCGCCACTTTCTTCACGATTACACCATCAAAATAGAAAAAACATTGTTAAGTTATTGGCCAGATTTTTAAAGAGAAAGTGGGTGGCATTGTTTAATTTATTTACAAGTTTGCACTTCTTTATTTCTATTTAGATTTCTCACATAAACTACTTGATTTTCCTCTTAATTTGTGAGCCCTTCTCTGATTAATTTATAGGACAACATGTTATGAGACTCTATGCAAAATTATAATCTAATCAAATATTCAAATTAAAAGTTAAAATTACAATCTAATCAAATATTCAAATTAAAAGTTATTACCAATGGAATAAAATTGGTAGGTGGGTGGTTTTATGCTAAAAATCTAAATTTTTTTGTTCAATCCTTGCACAAATCATATAAATTATTATAATATATTCTAAAGAGAATTTATTTATCTCAAAATATATTTATTTGGTTTTTTCACCATTTATTTTATTTTCATACTTTTTACCATTTCAAAAGTATGGATTAGACAATTTAACTAGGGTTAACTTGTTTTTTTCAATGTTGTTTATGTAACTTTAGTATTCTTTGCTAGGTCCTTCTTTTGAAAGTTTAATTTTTTTTAATCATGATCTTATATCACAAATAACAGGTTAGTCAAGTTAACGTGGGTTGGCTCAGTTTTGTTTTCTCGACCTTTTTTTATGAATTTGATTTTTTTTAGTTTTATTATTTGGCATTAGATTATTGGCTATTAAACTTTGCCATTTTTTCGCTTATCTCTTTCTTAGATTATCCCCAGTGCAGGTTAGTCAAGTTTATTCAAGCTAGCTGGGGTGTTTTTCACCCTTTTTTTATTGCACTTCAGTCTTTTTTACTAGATTTTTATTTTGAGTCTATTTTTTTTTTATCCCAATCTCATACCACGAGTAGTTGGTTAGTTAAATTAATTTGAATTAACTTAGATTTTCTTCTTCAATACTAATTTCTCAAAAGGATTTTTCTTTTTTATATTTAACATTAGACTATTCGGCCTTGAGTTTTGTAATTTTTATTTTATTTTATTTTTGCGGGTTTTGTGGATCTAAGATCTCAAATTATATGTAAATAAACTCAAACTGAATTAACTTAAATTTTTATTGTTTTAATAAAAAAAAATTTATTATGAAGAATTTGACATTACCTCCACTTATCTTGCATACACTTAAACCAATTTGACATTCGATGATTTTGCAGCAGTTTTACATTGACGTGCCATGTGCATTAGGATTTTCTGGTATCTTATAAGGTCATTTACAGGTTAAAATCCGCATGCCATGGCTGTAAAATCTTAGATTATTTAGGTAAGTTGTTATGATCCATCCCTTGTTGACTTTTATGTCAATGTTGTGTGACCCACTACAAAAGGAAATGAAGACTTGATCTATGATTGAAGTTTTGAAGTGGCTGGAACGCAGAAAACTAAAAGTATGTGAATTAACTAGTCTATGAATGCCTAAAAAGTCATAATATCACCATCACTTTCAAAGTTTAAAAGAGAAACTCTACCCCATGACACGAGTAATTACAGTGGTTCAAAGACATGTCAAGCTACATGGGAACGTGAACCAAATTAAGTTTCATAAAAATTTAAAATTATTTTTAAAAAAAATTAATTTTTATATATTTTTAAATTATTTTGATATGTTGATATAAAAAATAAATTTTAAAAAATAAAAAAAAAAATTTTAATATATTTTTAAACTAAAAAATACTTTAAAAAAACAACTACTATCACAATAACAAATACTTATACATATTTCATATCTTTCTTTCATTAATAGCTTTCCTAAGTTGTATAAAAATATCCACTATATTAATTCATAATAATAATAATAATAAAGTCTAGTACTTTTGTTTTCAAGAAATTTTATAGTGCTCATGGAATACTTACCTATATTTTCTTCCAAGAAGAAGGAAATAAGAGAGAAGATTAAAAAAAAACATATTTTCTAATATATGTTAAAATATTTTTATTATTTTTATGTGTATTGAATTTGAATTTTCTTTTTCATCATCATCTACCTCTCTTTTCAATCTAAGACAAAAAAAAAGGTATATTGGTTGGATAATGGTTTGATGCCCACTGGGTGACAAGTTGTTTACCACTAGTAGTAATGAGTTGTTTTAAAAAAAAAACAAGGGTCTCAGCAAGTCATCCAACCCTTAAAAAAAAGAATATGGCTTAAGCACCTAGACCTTTTGTGTCCTAAGCAAGCTAGACCAACCATGCCTGCTAGTTAGGTCGGACCTTTTTGTTTTTTTATTTTTTTT